TAAATTTAATGTCATTTCCACATCAATTTATACTACTTCCTTTGACTTTTTTTTAAAATCCCATAACCATTTGTGCTATGGTCTGAATGCTTTTGTCCTTGCAAAATTCATATGCTGAAGCCTCATCACCAATGTGATGGTGTCAGAAGATAGGGCCTTCCGGGGCTGGCGCTATGTTCCAGGGAGTTAAAGCACCAGTCTGCAGCACTGACATCCCATAAGAGTGCCAATTCTAGTCCCAGCTGCTTCACTTCCAATCCAGCTCTCTTCTATGGCCTGGGAAAGCAGTGGAAAATGGCTCAACTCTTTGGGCCACTGCACTGGCATGTTGGCTTTAGATCCAGAAGAAGCTCCTGGCTCCCGGCTTTGGATCAGCTCAGCTCTGGCCATCGCGGTCATTTGAGGAGTGAACCAGTAGAATGGAGGAACTTCTTCTCTCTCTGGCTCTGCCTCTCTCTGTAACTCTGTCATTCAAATAAATAAAATCATTCTTAAAAAAAAAAAAAATAGGGATTTCCAAAGCTAATTAGGTCACGAGAATAAGTCCTCATGAATGAAATTAGTGCCCTTATGAAAGTAGCCCAAGAGAAACATTTTATAGTTTCCAGATTTGAGGACACAGCTAAAAGGCACCATTTATGAATCAAAAGGTGGAATCTCACATCTGCACAAGACATCTAATCTGCTAGTGACTTCAACATGGGTTCCTCAATTCCCAAAATGTTAGAGACAGATTGTTTATAAGCTTCCCAGTCCATTATATTTTGTTATACAACAAAAATGGATTAATACTATTTAAAATTTTAAAACAATTCTTAGCTCATGGACTGTACAAAATTAGAGAACAGATTGGATTTGGCCCATAGGATGTAATGTGTTGACCCTTTGTTCCAAGAGTGAAGGGGCATATAAAGAAGGTGGCTAAGGATGACTACGGAGCATGAGTTAACAAAATGATGTTTTCCCTCTATATTTTAAAGGTTAAGGATAAATAATTATTCAAAAATGATTGTTTCTTAAGGTTCATAGGACATGAATCTCTTTTTTTTTTTTTTTTTTTGACAGCGTTAGACAGTGAGAGAGAGAGAGAGAGAGAGAGAAAGGTCTTCCTTTTCCATTGGTTCACCCCCCAAAATGGCCGATACAGCCAGCGTGCTGCGCTGATCTGAAGCCAGGAGCCAGGTGCTTCCTCCTGGTCTCCCATGCAGGTGCAGGGCCCAAGTACTTGGGCCATCCTCCACTGCCTTCCTGGGCCACAGCAGAGAGCTGGACTGGAAGAGGAGCAACCGGGACAGAATCTGGCGCCCGACCAGGACTAGAACCCGGGGTGCCAGCGCTGCAGGCAGATGATTAGCCAAGTGAGCTGCGGTGCTAGCCAGGACATAAATCTTTATCTGCTTGATTACAAGTAGCAGCGAGATCATTTGCCCATTTCTTAACTGGATTGCTTATTTTGCTGTTGTTGCAACTTTGGAGTTCCTCATATATTTTGGATATTCATATGTTGTCACATGCATACTTTGTAAACATTTTCTCCCATTCTGTTGGTGGTATTTGGTATTTTCATTCTGTTGATTGTTATCTTTATTGTGCAGAAACTCCTCAGCCTTTTTTTTTTATTACTTGAGCAATAGCCCCTTTATTTTTATTTTTTTTAACTTTTATTTAATGAATATAAATTTCCAAAGTACAGCTTATGGATTACATTGGCTCCTCCCCTCCAATGACTTCCCTCCCACCCGCAACCCTCCCCTTTCCTGCTCTCTCTCCCCTTCCATATATATCAAGATTCATTTTCAATTTTCTATATATACAGAAGATCAGTTTAGTATACATTAAGTAAAGATTTCAACAGTTTGCACCCACATAGAAACACAAAGTGAAATATATTGTTTGAGTACTCGTTATAGCATTAAATCTCAATGTACAGCACATTAAGGACAGAGATCCTACATGAGGAGTAAGTGCACAGTGACTCCTGTTGTTGACTTTACAAATTGACACTCCTGTTTATGGCATCAGTAATCTCCCTATGCTCCAGTCATGAGTTTCCAAGGCTATGGAAGCCTTTTGAGTTCTCTGACTCTGATCATATTTAGACAAGGTCATAGTCAAAGTGGAAGTTCTCTCCTCCCTTCAGGGAAAGGTTCCTCCTTCTTTGAAGACCTATTCTTTCCACTGGGATCTCACTCACAGAGATCTTTCATTTCACTGGGATCTCACTCACAGAGATCTTTCATTTAGGTTTTTTTTTTTTTTTTTTTTTTTTTTTTTTGCCAGAGTGTCTTGGCTTTCCATGCCTGAAATACTCTCATGGGCTTTTTAGCCATATCTGAATGCCTTAAGGGCTGATTCTGAGGCCAGAGTGCTATTTAGGACATCCACCATTCTATGGGTCTGCTGTGTATCTCGCTTCCCATGTTGGATTGCTCTCCCCTTTATTTATTCTATCAGTTAGTATTAGCAGGCACTAGACTTGTTTATGTGATCCCTTTGACTCTTAGTCCTTTCATCATGATCAGTTGTGAACTGTAATTGATCACTTGGACTAGTGAGATGGCATTGGTACATGCCACCTTGATGGGATTGAATTGGAATCCCCTTGTACGAGAAACTCCTCAGCCTTTACATAATCCTATTTGTCTGATTCTTCTTCCATATCGTATGCTGTCGGAGTCTTATCCAAAAAAATCATTGCCTAGGCCAATGTCTTGAAGTATTTCTCCTATGTTTTATTCCAGTAGTTTCAGAGATTCAGGTCTTAAATTCTGATCTTTAAGCAATTTGAGTTGATTTTTGTAGAGGATTAAGTTTTCAACTTTCTGCATATGGATATCTAGTTTTTCCAGCCCCATTTACTGAAGGGACTGTCCTTTCACTGTGTATGTTTTTGGCACCACTGTCAAAAATCAGTTGGCTGTACATGCATATGATTTCTTTTCTATCCCATAGATTTATGTGTCTGCTTCTATTCAAGAACCATACTGTGCTAATTACAATAGCTCTGTAGTATGTGTCTTGAAATATGCTATTGTGATGCATAAAGCTTTGTTCTTTTTATTCAAGATGGCTTTGGCTATGGAGACTTTTGTGTCTCTATATAAATTTTAGGATCTTTCTTCTGGTTAGGTATAGAACGTCATTGATATTTTGATGGGAATTACTTTGAATACAAATGGGAAATGAATACAAGAAAAAATGTTCCATATGAGTAGCCTTCAGAGGAATACAGGTCAAAACCACAATAAAGTTTTATCTCACTCTAGTTACGATTATTATCAAAAAGTCAAAATATTAAATGTTGGTGAGGATGTGGTGTGAATGTAAATTAGCAAAACCATTATGAAGAATGGTATGGAGATTCTTCAAAAAACTAAAAAGAGATCTATCATACAACCCAGCAATCCCATTACTGTGTATATGTCCAAAAGGACATAAAACTTCTGTAAGAAAGGGATACCTGCACTCCTGTATTCACTGTGGCACTTTTCATAAGAACCAAAAACAAAAAAAGGAATAAAATAGGTGAACGTTAATGGATGACTGAATAAAGAAAATGTGGCATATATACACAACAGAATATTATTCAACAATAAAAAATAACAAATCTTGACATTTGCAGCAAAATGGAGAGAACTGGAGATCATTATAGAAGTTAAATAAGGCCAACATAAAAAGACAAGCATCACATCTTCTCTTAGAAGTGGAAGTTAAGGCCGGCGCCGCAGCTCACTAGGCTAATCCTCTGCCTATGGCGCCGGCACACCAGGTTCTAGTCCCGGTCAGGGCACCAGGATCCTGTCTCGGTTGCTCCTTTTCTAGTCCAGCTCTCTGCTGTGGCCCGGGAAAGCAGTGGAGGATGGCCCAAGTGCTTAGGCCCTGCACCCGTATGGGAGACCTGGAAGAAGCACCTGGCTCCTGGCTTCAGATCAGCGCAGCGCGCTGGCTGTAGTGGTCCTTAGGGAAGTGCACCAATGGAAGGAAGACCTTTCTCTCTGATTCTTTCTCTCTCACTGTCTAACTCTGCCTGTCAAAAAAAAAAAAAAAGTGGAAATTAAAAAAAAAGTCAAATTGAACTTAAAATTGTGGTTACTAGAAGGGAAGGGCTGGAGGGAAGGGACAGGAGAAGGATAGTTGGTACCAAAACACAATTCGATGGAGATAATGCATTCTGGTGTTTCACAGCACAATGGGGGGATTATAGTTTACAACATTATATTCCATATCGAATAAATACTGGATGAGGGGCCAGCATTGTGGCACAACAGGTTAGCTGCCGCTTGTAATACCAATATCCCACATAAAAGTGATGGTTCAAGTCTTGCATGCTCTGCCTGTTGATCAACTCTCTGCTAATGTTCCAGGGAAACAGCAAAAGATGACCCAGGTAATTGGGCCCCTGTCACCCACAGGAAATCCACATAGAATTCTTGGTTCCTGGTTTTGGCCTGGCTCTAGATCCACTCATAGAGCTAAACAGGGAGTGAGCCAGCACATGGAAGATCTCTTCCTCACTTTGTCTCTGTCTTTCTTTTTTGTCACTCTACCTCTCCAATAAATAAAGATGCTTTTTTAAAAAATAAAAATTGGATTAACTGACAGCCCCAAACACAAAGAAATGATACAGTAATACACCTGGTTTGATAGGTTATAGCTATATATAGGTGTCAAAATATTATACTATACCCCATGAAATGTGCAAGTATTACATGTTAGTCCAAATTTAAAATGATGATTGTTAGGGAACCATTCATGGAGAAAGTAATTGTAGCGCCGTTTGAAACACAGTAACTGTAGCACCCTTTGAAAGAAAGTAACTGCAAAGTAGCGCAGCTTGAAAGAAAAGTAGAAAGGTAACCACCCTAGCTGGTAAGATTTAAAAACAGATGGCCTAACTAGAAGGCCTAAGCACAAACTGTTGTTGCCATGACTACGGGACCCTAGGAGGTCACAATGTGGGCGGGGCTAGCCTCTAGAAACTGTATATAAGGGGACCCTCAGATGCTGTAAACCAGAGGTTGCTCAGCCTCTCTCCCCAGTCCGTAGTGAGAAGCTAAGGTCAGAAGCTCCTGGTCCGTAGTGCCTAGTGCCCACAGGAGTAGGCTCGGGCGATCTCTCCTCCTAGTCACCTGGAGTATCAATAAAGTGTGTTTAGCTTGACCTTCCAGCAACCTGGCCAGTTCCCAGAGGGGGAGATCCTGACCATGATGATTATAAATAAGTAAGAAATAAACAGCTGGCCAATGCATACTGGTTAATTGCAAAATATAAATCTATTGAGGAATGCATTTCAAAATATTACTTGAAAGATGACGGCGCTTTTGATAAGTTTTCGGAAAAATTCCAAGATCTGTTGGAGCTGGCTCCATGGTTCTTAAGGCCCTCTGAGGATAGACATTGCTAATGTTTGTCAGCAGGAATTGTTTTTGCAAAAATGTTATAAAGGAACTGCCTTTTAATGTATCAATCTCATTAGGAACAAAATGCAGTGCTAATATCTGTAATGTTTGATAGCACTACATATAATTATTTTCAAATTTAGGTGAGGGTTATACAAACATCATAGATCTTCAGAAGCCTTTTATCTGATAAATCTAAATGTAATAAAACCTCCTGTTTCTGACTATCAAAGGCTAAAGAATGAGTAATTTATACACTGCGGGCCTGCAGAAATTCAACTTGTCTACTAAAATAGCCCTAAGGGAAGTTAAAATTGAAAAGAGAAGAGACAGATAAATAAAATGGCATTATTTCCTCAGGAACTTTTCTGGTTGTAACTTATTTAAAAAAAAAACAGTAATTTTACTGCTGATTTTTCTGGCAGGGAAAATAAAGAACAATTACAAGCATCAATGTTAAACACTCCTACTGGCTTAGAGAAGATATTGAGATTCACACATTAGCATACTGGTAAGTTTCTGTTTCTCTAATAAAATTAAACTCTACTAAATGCTCACAACTTGGACTTTAGATACTAACCATAGCACCATATTATGATCTTTTGATTGGGTTACAATGTTTTGGATCAATTTTGTAATGGGAGTAATTTTAAAGTAATCTTATTTCTTTTTGGAAGTAGTTACAAATCTAATATAGAGAGAAATGTAGAAGGTCCCAGGTACCTGACCCACAGCAAGTAGGGGGCTGATTGCTCACAAAGACAAGACGGAGAAGATGGGCTAGCATAAAGTACTAAGTGCTTGCTCATTCATGTTCATAGACGGGACAAAAGTGCTCTGCCCTCAGTCAGGTCTTATTTATCATTCTTACAAATAATAATGCATAGCTACATAGACCTCACTACAGATACAGGAATATCATACTTATTTAATGCACTGACATCACTGAGAAGAATTAGAAGAAGGTACTCCAAGGGACTGAGTGACCATAAGACATACAGATCTATACTGATTATCCCAAACTCATGTCAGGCATTTCCTCTGCATTTGTGGAGCGATTTCTGTGACGTAAAGAGGCAATATGGCAAACTGACTTTAAAAAGAGTGAAGTCGAATTACCCGCTTTCACATCCTCTTTGTTTCAACATGCTAGCTCTGCCACCAAAACAAGTAACAATTTATTTCTATCTCACTTTTCTCATTGGTAAAATGAAGACAACCAGAGATAACATTCCAAAAATTATAGCTGTAAGCATTAAAGTATAAACTAAAGGTGAGTATATCTAACTTGGGTAATGTAAAATCAGTGTGTAAAGTGGCTAGAAAAGTGTGTGGCAGAATACAAATGTTCATTATGATTTTATGGTCTTCAATGCCTTAACATTCTTTATGTTCTCTACAGTAATAAGCACCACATAGTATCAATGTGTATTTTATATTTGGTGAATTGGGGCTGGGTATTGGGAAGGTCGCACATAGCTCTGAGTAGTGTACAAGCAGAATTCTGGCATTCAGGAGGGATTCCAAGAGTAAAGCTGCTGAAACTGCATGTCAGTGATAAAGCTGGACCACAAAAGTGTTGTAAGATTTGTGAATTACTGCTGAAAGTATGCTTACGTTTCAATGTGCAAAATGCAGTGGTTAGGGGTGGAGGGAGATTTGAGATGGTGTCTGTACTATTACAAAGCAGAAGAAGTCTAGGCCATACATCTTTTTTGGAAAACCTACCATAAGAACAGAGCTTCAGATGTCTAAATCATTGATGCAAGTGTGCTTAATGAAATCAATAATGATCCCCCCAAATACAGCATAGTTTCTATCTTCAATATGTTGCTCAGGGGTCTGTGGGGGAGAGTATAAATGTTACAGTGGGGCCTATGACAAGGGAAAAATAGCTATAGTCAAGGAGAGAAACCAAGCATTTTAGATATAGAACTAAGATATAAAGAGATATTGAGCTGGCGTGGTGACTCACTTGGCTAATCCTCCGCCTGTATCACCAGCACCCAGGGTTCTAGTCCCGGTTGGGGTGCCGGGTACTAGTCCCAGTTGCTTCTCTTCCAGTTCAGCTCTCTGCTGTGGCCCGGGAGGGCAGTGGAGGATGACCCAAGTGCTTGGGTCCCTGCACCTGCATGGGAGACCAGGAGGAAATACCCGGCTCCTGGCTTCAGATCGGCGCAGCTCCAGCCGTGGCATCCCTTAGGGGAGTGAACCAATGGAAGGAAGACCTTTCTCTTTGTCTCTCTCTCATTGTCTATAACTCTCCCTCTGTCTCTCTTTCACACTGCCTAACTCTGCCTGGCAAAAAAAAAAAAAAAAAAAAGAGAGAGAGAGAGAGAGAGAGATATTGATGGACCAAATTAATAGACTTAATATAACAAAATAACATCTAATAAGTAGTTTTATATTGGACCTAAAACTGCAAATAGAAAAATACACATTAACTGCTGAAAAAGTCAATTAAATACAATGGAGCTTTTACTTTAATACTGGTCAAAAAGGAAAGAGAATGACATACAAATATGAATATATTAAGAGTAAATTGATAATATTATGAAACTATCTAGGCTATTTCCTCTAATTCTGGGCAAAATTAGAACATTTTCAGTGGGGGACTGGCACTCTGGCATAGCAGTAAACCTGCCACCTGTGGTGCCTGCTTCCCATACAGGCTCCAGTTCAAGTCCCAGCTGCCCGACTTGTGATCCAACTTCTTGCTATTGTACCTAGGAAAGCCCAAGTGCTTGGGCCCCTGCACCTATGTAAGTGGCCCAAAAGAACCTCCTGGCCCTGGCTCGAATCAGCCCTACTCCGGCTGTTGCGGCCACGTGGGGAATGAACCAGAGGATGGAAGAGACCTCTTTTTTTTCTCTCTCTGTCTCTCCCTGTCTATCTTTCTGTTTGTCTCTCTCTCTGTGTGTGTGTGTGTGTGTGTGTTTGTATGTGTGTGTGTGAGTATGTAACTCTGCCTTTCAAATAAATAAATAAATCTTAAAAAAATAATATTTTCAGTGAAAAATGGGGGAAAAGTTGAGACTTGAAGTCACATCACATGAAGAACAGTTAAATAAATAAGAATATTCAGCTGGGATAAGGTGAAAGAGGGAAATATAAAAACTGTTATCACTTTCAAGTTCAGTCATAGAGAGGGAATTTAAAATTTTTCTGAATCAGCTTATGATGGGATAATCAGCACAATAATTAGGAATTACTTAAAAGTACTTCAGGAGTACTTTCTAACATCCAAATCTATTTAAGGAGGTAATTGTTTCTAAATAGTTCCTCTTAACTGAACTGTCTGAGGCTAGAGCAGTAGACACCTACTGGGTTATCTCTCAGTACTCCTGTGCTGAGAATTTCCTTTTGTCTGGGAGGAGAGGACTCACAAGGTGCCCTCCATCCCTACAACTCTCTCTATACAACCGTTGGTTGGTTCAGGGATCGGTAACCTTAGAAAGAATCCATACATGATACTGACTTTTATTTTACATCTTCCTTAAAGAAACTGCTTTCTTGTCTTTGGGATCTAAGGGACATTCTCCTATGTTTTTTTTTTTTATCTTTATTTCAGTTGTTGCACAAAAACAAAAGTAGCATATATATTGGCTAGGGGACTAATTAATAGAGAGATTGAGGGATGGGAGAAACAAATGATGCCTAATAAATCTATAAGTTCACTTGAACCTGCTATTTTGTATCTGTGTAACTATTTTAATAAATATCCACATGTAAAGTCAGCATTTAGGGATTTGATTATAAAACTCTAAGCTTTCTCTTTCTCCCAACTGTAAGAATCCAAATAACCTTCCAAAAAAGAAAAAAAAAAAACTAAAAGAAAATTAAATTGGATAAAACTTTCCTCAAATAATTTACTGAATTTTAATAGACTTATTCCATGTTTATAAGGCAAATTATTCAATAAAATTGTATATATTTAAGCTATATTATATAATAATTTGATATGTATACATTGTAAAATGATTATCACAATCAAGCTACTTAACATTATTGTTTTCTATGTGTGGTGAGGATACTTAGAATCGTCTCCATTAAAAAATCTCAAGTGTACAATACAGTATTATTAACTACAGTCACTATGCTATATGTTAGATCCCTAGAACTTACTCATCTTGGGGATGCTTCTGCTTGTGACACTGGTACCCCATATCAGTTGCTCAGTTTCCAATCCAGCTTAATGCTGACATGCCAGCCAGCAGATGATGGTCCAAGTACTTTGGCCCTTCCCATCCATGTGAGAGAATAGGATGGAATTCTGGACTCCTGGCTTCAGCCGCACCCAGACTAGTTGTTGCAGCCATTTGAGGAGTGAGCCAGCAGATGGAAGATATCTCTGTGTTTCTCTTTCTCTGTCACTCTTTAAAATAAATAAATAAATATTTTAAGAAAAGTTATTCATCTTAAAACTGAAAGTTTATACCTTTTGACCAACACTTCCCCATTTCCAATGTCACTTGCCCCTAACCACTAGAACTATCATTTTATCTCTCTACTGTTATATTTGATTTTTTTTTTGACAGGCAGAGTGGACAGTGAGAGAGAGAGACAGAGAGAAAGGTCTTCCTTTGCTGTTGGTTCACCCTCCAATGGCCACCACGGCTGGCACGCTGCGGCCAGCGCACCGCGCTGATCCGATGGCAGGAGCCAGGTACTTATCCTGGTCTCCCATGGGGTGCAGGGCCCAAGCACTTGGGCTATCCTCCACTGTACTCCCTGGCCACAGCAGAGAGCTGGCCTGGAAGAGGGGCAACCGGGACAGAATCCGGCACCCCAACCAGGACTAGAACCCAGTGTGCTGGTGCCACAAGGTGGAGGATTAGCCTAGTGAGCCACGGCGCCAGCCTATATTTGATTTTTTTAAAAAATATTTATTTATATGAAAGACTGATTAGCAGAGTAGGGAAGTGGGGACAGAGAGGGAGGGGGGAGATCTTCCATTCTCTGCCTCATTCTCCAAATGTGTGCAACAACCAAGGTTGAGCCAAGTCAAAACCAGGAGGCAGGAACTCCATCCAAGTCTCCCATATGGGGGCAGAAAGCCAAGGATTTGGTCTATCATCTGACGCTTCCAAGGCACATTAACAGGAAGTTGCATTAGAAACCATGATGGAATTTGATCCCAGGCACTCAAAATGGGATGTTGGTATCCCAAGAAGCAGCTGAACCCACAACAGCAGAACACTTAAGCAGACCTTTTATAGATTTCAAATAGGAGTGATACACACAGTATAGTGTTTGCCTTTCTGATGTTTGTCTATTCCACTTAGTTTAAGATTATAAAGGAGCTGCAAATCCCAGTGCCTAGAATCTCACTGTACCCTTTACATGTTTACATAAGTTCAGACACACCAATACTTATCATTGTGTTACAGTTGCCTACAGTATTCAATAGCAATGTGCTGTATAGGTTGGCTGCCTAGGAACAACAGGCTACTCCTCATAGGTTGTATGTAGTAAGTTATGCCATGTAGGCTTTTGTAAGTACTCACACAT